TCGTGCGATGGATCAATGGGCACCTCGACGCGGCCAGCGCCCTGGCTCGAGTCTTGGCTGACGAAGACCGCTCGGCAGCGCGGCAGCTACGGGCCAAGCCGCGCGCGCGCGGTTCCCGCCGCCCGCCCTGGTCGTTGGGCCGGACAATTGCGCGCTGGGCGTCGCGCAGCGGCTGCTGGCAGAGGTGGAGCTGGCCGCCCTGGGGGTGAAACACAGGAACGCTGGCGTGGCGCATTGGGCCCGCAGGCCGCCGCGGCCGGCGGGGCGTGCTCGGCGCGCAGCCAGGCGCGTTACCGCAGGTCTTCCCGCTCGCAGCTGCTGCAGCACCAGGGCAGCCCGGCAACGCGCGCGGCGGGTGCTGCAGGGCCCGCCGCGCCGCGCCGTCCCACGCCGCCGCCCAAGGCCCCGGCTGGATGACCTGCGTGCGTCGCGGGGCGTCTGCGCCCACCTGGCCGCGGTTGGCGGCGTTACCGCGCGCGGGCTGGGCCGCCGCGTTACGGCCGCGGGCGGCGGCCACGCCGCCGCTGCCCGCGGTGCGGGCCGGCGGGCGCGAGGCGGATTGGCGCGAGGCCGCGGGGGCTCGGGCGGTGCAGTGCCCTGGGCCGCCCGATTAACTCAGCGCCCTGGCAGATCGAGCGCGAGCTGCGTTACCGATTCGCCGCCCCTCTCTGCCGCTGGGCATCTTCGCTTATTCGATAAAATGTAAAACCCGCTTCTTTTCGTCGCCCACTGGGGGCAACCCCGTCCCCGTCGCCATTCGATGCCCCTTTCCCTTTGGAGGGCGCAGACATCGCGGGCGCCCCCCCCCCCCCTGACGCCACCCTCAACCAGAGGCGCGCGGCCTCGCGCGGCGGGCGAGGCGAGGGCGCGCCGCGGCGGCGCTCGCGAGGCGCACGGCGAGGGCGCACGCCCTTCGGAGACGTCGGGGGGGCGCCCCTGCGCCCTTGACCGACGCTCATGCGACCGCGTTTCGACTGCACCCGGCAGCCCGGGCAACGCGGCGGGCGAGCCCGAGCGGCGCGGCCGGGGCTGGGCGCGTGAGCGTTGCCGGAGGTTTGGTCCAGATCAGCCGGCACATTTCAGAAGAGCGCAAGGTGAGCCTTTCGGGTGTGTGGGGGGGGGGGGCCGTCGCCCCGGCTGGACGCAGGTCGGGAAACTGGTGCAGTTGGACCCTGGGCGGGGCCGGAGGGCCGAATGCCAGCCGCCGGTGTCCCAAGCCGCCTTGCTCCAACAGAAGTGGGCGCGTGTGCCCGGGGCCGCGCGCGCGTGCCCGATGTCCGCCGATTCTCTGCGGCTGGCCGTCCTTCCCCCGCACTCCTCTGCTCTGTTCCGCCGAGTGCCCAGCGCGGCCCGGCGGCTCTGCATTCGCGCCCGCGTCTGCCGGCGTTATAAGAATCAAAAGTGCGTTGATTGAGGCATGGTCCAGATCATCCAAGGCGGGAGCTGATCCACAACCACCGCCTGGGGGATCGATCCCTTGCGACTCCACAGGCGGTGGATATGGATAAATCCCCGCTTCGCAGATCAGTTGGTTCCCCCCTCAGCTTCGCAGCTGCTGTCTGAGTGGGCCGGCCGGCTTTCGCCTGTCTTAGCTAATTCGCCTAGCTCGCGTCCCGGACTTTGCTCTTGCCGCCTGACCGTCGTCTCGTGGCCGCGACCGAAAAAGATCAGTTGGCTCATTGCTGCCGTGCTGCGCAGAGTCGCGCGGAGGCCCGACAATTATGTTCGACGGCGGGGTTCCAACGGAGGCCTTCCGAACGACGGCGGTGGCTGGTTTCGGCGGTGCGCCTGCAGTCTAGGCCTCCCACATGGGGCCCGAGTGGGGCCCAGGGATCGCGCTGCATCGCCGATGCATCGGCGATGCCGCTCGATGTGGAGCCCAGCCCTCTCCACGCGGACGTCGCCGATGCACCGGCGATGCGGTGCTATCTTCCGACCCCGTCCACTCCGAACTCCGAACCCCAAATGGGAGGCTTTTGTGGAGGGAGAGCACGGAAATTTGGCCCACGGCCTGGCGTTTGAGGGGCCGAGGTCGTTGGCCCCGCCACCTTGCGCGAAGTGTCGCGTCACCCATCATCGGGCGCGTTCCTCTCCCTCTTTCCTCCCCGTCGGTGTCCTCTGTGTGTGTGTGTTTGTGGTTGTTCCTCTTGTTTTTTTTGTTTGTTCTCTCTCTCTCTCTCTCTTTCTCTCCCCCTCTCCCTCTCGTTGTCTCTTTCTCTGTCTTTCTCTACGTATCGCCTCTCCCCTTCCCGAGTCCCCATGTACCTCCCTTCCCTGTCCCGTTTGCCCCCATTCCCACCCCCTCCAGTCCCCCTCTTTTCTGAAAGGATGACACTGGCCTTTTTGTTGAGGTGCTGGTGGGTTGGCACGCGTTCGGGATCCCACCCCATAGCGCATGTTTACACACGTTGCCCCTTGCGGCAGCAGCTGCTGACGGGAGTGCGCAACAGGCGCGCCCGTACCCTGAGCGCTTCACCCTCTTCTGTTGGGGCCTGCTTCGCTGGAGGCAGGCAGGCCAATCCCAGTTGACAGTTTCCCCTTCCTTTCCGCCCCCTCGCGCACAATCCCCTTCTCTTCCTTTCAATTCGAAGACGAGAGAACTGCATAAGCACAAACGATTACAAACAGTCGGAGATCTGCGCTGATTTTCTGGATCGGTTCAGAGCTCCCCTTCCTGGCCGTTGAACGCACTACGGGCGGCGCCGGAAGTGCCGCCAGGGGGGGGCCAGCGCAGACAAAAGGTCTGTTCGAACACACGAAAGATTATGTTTACGCCGTCGTTGTTCCTCCGATTGCAGCCTCTCCCCCCCGGGAGGTGGAGAAGGAGGAGGAGGAACAGGAGGAGGAGAAAGAACAGGAGGGTGGAGGAGGAGAGAGGATCTCAGACAGCGCAGATCCACCCGCGCAGATACCAGGAGTCCGCGCGGACACCCGAAAGGTTGTGCCTAAGCCATTCCCCCTCTTCTCTCCCACACTCCTCCCGTCCTTCCTCTCACCAGTCCCCCCCCTCTCTCCCACTCGCCTCCCTTCCTTCCTCTCAGTCTAAAACTCGTGCCTAGGCCATTCCCCCTCTTCTCTCCCGCGCCCCCTTCCTTCCTCTCAGTGCTGCCATCCGCCCCGCGGGGGGGGGGGAAGAGAGGGGACGGATGGTCCGAAAGAGCACGCACGGCCAGCGGGGCCCGGGCAGGGGGACAGCCCGCGGCAGGCCGGGGTACCAAGCCGAGGCGTGGGGTCGGGCGGGCGGTAAGCCCAGACCTCTTGGCGTCGTGAAAAAATCACGACGGGAGGTTTTTCGCTATTTTCTGCCTCCGGGGGCCCTCACCGGGCCTCGGGACCGTCAAAAAACGACTCAGGATGCAAAGCCGGTCCCGGGGAAGGGGTCCAGACCTCTGGGGGTCGACGTTGTGAAAAAATCACGACGTCGGGGGTCTGGGAGGGGGGGGGACCCAAATTCGATGATCCTCAGGGCGTGTGTCAGCCCAATGTGTGTTTACCCCGTTCAACCCAGCCAGTCGATCCTCACATCGCTTTCGTCGTAGTGAAGGGCCTCAGTGGGCAGACGCACGTTGGCGCTAACACGTTCTGAGGATCATCGACAGAGTAAAAGGGCCCAGAAGGGACCGGGCCCCTATTGGGCACCAGCTGGCTCCAAACGAGGGCCCCTTTAGGGCTCTGTTTTTCATCCCCCATGTGGGTCACCCCCCATTGCCAACGAGGGGAGGGGGGGGGCACTGCCGAGAGAAAACAACAACAACAACAACAACAACAACAACAACAACAACAACAACAACAACAACAACAACAATTACTAGCACGTGGGGACACTCCGTTCTCACCAGTGCCAGGGTTTTCATAGGAGGCGGGCAATACCCCCACTTTGTGGGGGGGCCGGTTCAAGCTCTACCAAATTTCCAAACGACTCTTCGCCACCACCCACACCCAGCTTCCCGCCCTATGACGTTCGGACACTTCACTTCGTGGCATGCGGACGACCGTGGCTACTATTCAGGGCCCCGCGGCCGACGACGACGGCGTGCGCGCGCGAAGAAAAAACGAATGTGTCCCGCATGGTATTATTTGACAGGGATGATGGCCCTGGCAGGTGCGCAACCGTTGTTGCAGAAGTTCGAAAAAGTTGCTCGCAAAAGCCCGTTTGACAGAAATGTTTAAAAAGTGTTGGGTTTCCTACGAATCCGCAAGAGCGCGCGGGATGAAATTTTGACATTTTTTTTTTGAAAAACCATTGGTTTTTTTGATGTTTTTATGTTAAAATCGCTACGAACACTAAGGTTTTGGAAGGATTTCGTCTTGCGCGCGCGAATGTCCACTTTACCTTATTTGTTGCAAGGGATTCTTGAAGTTTGGTTATGTTAGAACAAGAAATGTCCACTTTAGCTTTTTTTTTGCAAGGGAAAACGGGGGACAACAAAACAATCGGATCCGGACACCCACGTTTTGCCTGAGACGTCCTCACGAAAATGATGAAAAAATGTGGCTGCGGCCTAGGCGCGGCGAGGGGGCCGCGCACCAGGGGTCCCAACAATAATTATTCTTTAGAATAAATAATGTTCAACAACAACAACCACAACCACAACCACAACCACAACCACAACCACAACAACCACAACAACCACAACCACCACAACCACCACAACCACAACAACAACAACAACAACAAAAGACACGCCCAAAGCGACCATCGGGGCCGTCAGGGAAGTTGGGGCGCTTGGGGAGGAGGAGGAGAAGGAGGAGGAGGAGGAGGAGGAGGCGCAGGATCGCGGCGCACGTGGCAGAAAACTCACCTCGTCCTCGCCTCCCGCACGCCTCCCGTCCTCCTCGCCTCCCCTCCTCCTGGCAGCCCTCCTCCTGGTCTCTTCTCCCCTTCCCCTCGCCTCCTCATCCTGGCCTCGCCTCCTCCCCTCCTCGTGGCCTCGCCTCCCCTCCTGGCAGTTCTCCCCCCCCCTCCTCGCCCCCCCCCCCTGGCGGCCCTCGGGGCGCAGGGCTGGCCGACGGCCTCCGCGGCACCGTGGAGGCGCTGCGCCGCCGCCGCGACCAGCTCGCGGAGGCGGCCGACGGGGGGGCGGCCGACGGGGGCCGTTGTTGAGCGCGGGTGGATGAGATTGGCATCGCTCGGACCTGTGCATCTTTTTCGGCGGGGACGACTGAGGAGCGTCCTGGATCATTTTGCCCCCCCCCCCAAAAAAAAAAAAACACGGAACCGACAAGTGCACGGGAAATGGGAGTCCGAGCGATGGCGAGTTCATGGGGGGGGCGACGGACGGGGAGGAGAGAAGCGCGCTCTTCTCGGGCCATGGAGGCCCGCTGGGGCCCCAGAGGGTCCTCGTTGGGGACCCTAGGGGGCCCCTTTTCTGCAGCCCTCGCTGCACCCCCCCATTTACTCGCGCACGGGCCTGAGGGAAGCGTGTCCTGAGCTGTTTCGCCGTTTGCGGGCTCTCGGGGCCCAGGATTGAGGTCTCGTCCTTCAGGGAGGCTCCAGGGTCCACCCGTTTCCCTCAGGACCAGTTTCCGTCAGGACCCGCTTCCCCCATGCCGATGGAGGGAGAGGGAAGGGTCGAGTCGATTAGACGTAAGAGTGACCTTTCGCGGGAGTGGCCTATGGTGCGGGTCCACTGGAGTCTCCCGATCGCTGAGCGCGAAGCGGTAGCAGCGGCTTGCGCGCCTGGGTTTGGCCACCCCGCGTCCCCCGTTCAGCCGCGCACCAAAGGTCACCCTTATCCAGGGTCACTCTTACGCGTAGCCAAGGGAGGTCAGGGCGGTCGCTTCCTCGATCGGTCTCTCTGTTGTTGTCGCCGCCCTGCTCCTGCCTTTTACTGTTGCATGAACAACCTGCGACGCCTGGAGCGGACGCCCCAGGCGTCACCAGGCTCCCAGTTCCCCCCCCCCCAGTGCCGACGATGGTGGTGGCGGTGACGAGCATGATCGTGGTGGTGGTGGTGCTGTTGGTGGTGTTGCTGGTGGTACTGGTTATGGAGATGATGATGATGATGATGATGATGATGATGATGATGATGATGATGATGATGATGATGCTGATGCTGATGCTGATGCTGCTGCTGCTGATGCTGATGCTGATGCTGATGCTGATGCTGATGCTGATGCTAGTGATGGTGATGGTGATGGTGATGGTGATGGTGATCAATGGTGATGATGATGATGATGCTGATGCTGATGCTGATGCTGATGCTGATGCTGATGCTGATGCTGCTGATGATGATGATGGTGCTGATGATGCCGATGGTGATGATGGTGATGGTGGTGATGGTGGTGATGATGGTGGTGATGGTGGTGATGGTGGTGATGATGGTAATGGTGATGATGATGATGATGATGATGATGATGATGATGATGATGATGATGATGATGATGATGATGATGATGATGATGATGATGATGATGATGATGATCGCCGTTGGCGGTCGCTGGAGGAGGAGGGAAGGGGAAGGGACCGGGATGAGGGACGGGGATGGTGGCGGCCGTTGGAGGGGGAGGGAAGGGGGAGGGAAGGGGAGAGGTCGAAGGGCGGCCGTTGGAGCCAAGCCCTCCCAGATTGTGTCCGAGCAAATGCGGTCGGAGTGATCGCGCCGCATCGCCAGTCACGGAGTGATCGGAGTGATCGCGCCGTTGGAGCCCCGCCCTCCCAGATTGTGTCCGAGCAAACGCGGTCGGAGTGATGCGGCTCGATGCGGAGCGCGAGTTTCTCCCCGCGATGCGGCGTCGCCGATGAACGGGCGATGCATGGGCGATGCGGCGCGATCCTCCGACCCCATCTACTCGGACCCATCGAGGAGGCCTCGAGGATGGGGAGAGGAAGGGGGAGGTCAGGGGAGGAAAAGGCAACGGTTCAGCTAACCTTCTCTCGTTTCCGCCTGCTTGGGCCTCCTGGAAGGCCCTCGTCGCCACAGTTGGAGAGAGGTTGAAGTGTCAAGTTGAAAAGTTCAATGATTGTAGAATGGCGTCATATAGGGTGAAGGGCCAAGTTATGGTGCACCTCCGTTGGTTGCGGTGGCCTGCGTTGCCCACGTTTGCTGTTTGAAAGGCCGCCGGTGCCTTCGGGTGCCCACCCCGTCGCGTCCACAGGGACTACGCACCCCCCCTGTGGTGGGGAGGTGGGTGGACGGGCCGCCCCCCGGTGCCGCGCGCACTACGCCAGGGGTGGTGGGGAGTTGGGGAACGGTGATTGCGAAGGACTTACGGCCAGTGCCGCCGACCCTGAAGACGACGACGCCGACCGCGACGAGGTAGAAGGAGGAGGAGGTGGAGGAGGAGGAGGAGGAGGAGCCGCATGAGGAGGAGGCGGAAGACGCCCCCCCCCCGCCCTCCACCACCCCCGTCGGACCCCCCCCCCAGGGAGACCCCCAGGGGGGGATGCGTATCTGACCTCCCCCCCCCAACGAGAAGGGTTTAAAGGGAAAGGGCTTCCCTTCGATATGATTACCACATTGCTAAGTTCTTCTCTCGATCACAGGTTTCAAAGGAACCCAACTCGAACAGAGAAACCCCTCACACGCCGACAGGGTCGGCGGATGTTCCATCCCCATCCCTCCCACGTGGCCCAACATTCCCACCCCGGAGTCACAATCCCAGTCGTGTTGGTATGCTCCATGTCGCCGTGGTGTTGCTGTCCCCTGTCGTTATGGTAACACCCGTGCTGCTGCGCGCACTCGTATTGCCCATCGCCGCGTGGCCAGCCCCAGACGTATTGGCAACAGCGGTAACAGTTGTGGTGCCTGTTCCAATTCGTGGTGTTTTTTGCACCCGCGCTGCGCAACGACGTCATCCTGGCTCAAGTCGTGCTGATCACAGTACGATTCTCCTGGTCGCCGTGGAGCTGCTGATTCCCGTGAAGCCAGTAAGTTTCATGAAATCTGTCCCACCCGTCCCAGCCCCACATGGTCGTCAGTGAAAGCCTTATGGTGGTCTCCAGCGCGGTCGGGTGACATCGGCTTGTGGTGGCTAGTGCTCCCGGCCCGCTGCCGAGCCCTATGTTTGCTCTGGTCCCGATTCTTCCCACCCCTCCCTAGAGGGACCCACTCAAGAGGAGCGGGGGGGTCCACAGGCGGGGAGTCACACCGCAGCTGCCGCCACCTCGCGGCGTCACGCCCCCGTCGAACACTTCGCTCATGTTCCCCCAGAAGCATTTCAAAAAACATCACGAATCCCTCGGACGCACCGCCCGTCCCCACCCACCCCACACCGCGCGGCTCAAAGCCCCAATCCCCCAAGTGGCACAGAACCCCCGACGCCCCACTAGCAATGCTCACCGACGCGCTGCTAGTCCCAGTCGTGCTGGTAAGACTCGCGCTGCTGCTCGCAATCGTACCGCTCACGGGAGTCACGCGCGTAGCGTCCGTGTCGTTGCTCTCATTCGTATTGTTCTCCGAGGTCCTGCAATCCTCCCGAAGTTCCACGAATTCGCTGAAGTCTACGCGGGGACACTGGACGGCTGGCAGGAGATGCAAGTCCCGATCACGGCCCACACTTGAGATGAGTGGGAGTAGCTTTTGAAACGTTCCACGAATGTTGAATGCCGTCGCACAGGGCGGAAGCCACTTGGTGTATTGGAGAGGCCTGACGGCCGGTGCCGCCGACCCTGATCGAAAGGGCTAGTAGTGGGGGGAGGAAGCGGAGGAGAAGGAGGAGGAGGAGGAGGAGTACAGGGTGGAAGCCACTTGGTGTAGTTGAGTTGGTTTCGGTAGGTCTACAGTGCACACCTAAGGTTTTTTTTGCAAGACTCACGGTGCCCGCCGGTGCCCACCCCGTCCCGTCCACGGGGGCTTCGCACCCCCCCCCTCTGGTGGGGAGGTGGGTGCACGGGCCGCCCCCGCCCCTGGCTTGGCATCGCTCGGACGTGTGCGTTTTTTCCTCGGCGAGGACCATCGAGGAGCATCCTTCATCATTTGGCGAAAAAACCACGCACGAAACCAAAAAAAACTCAGAAAATGGACGTCCGAGCGATGACCAGCTGGCGTACCGCGCACTGCGCCAGGGGTGGCGGGGAGATGGAAAAGGTGAGTTTCCCTCCCCGCACTCGACCCGACGCGACCCTGCTTCAACAAAAAGGGAACGGAGCCCGACTCGAACGGAGAAACCCCTCACACACGCCGACAGGGTCGGCGGATGTTCCTGCCCCATCCCTCCCATGTGTGGCTCAGCGTCGCCACCCCCGAGTCACAATACCAGTCGTGCTGACATGCTCCGTGTCGCCGTGGTGCTGCTGCCCCCGTCGCGATGGGAGCACCCGGTTTCCTGCGCGCACCTCGTATTGCACATTGACGCGCTGCTGGCGCGAGTCGTGTCGGTTCAAACTCGTGGTGCTGTCTGCACCCGCATTGCAGGGAGAGGTCCAGGGAGCAGCGGTATCCGTCCCAAGAGGTTTGAGGTTGTCGGAGGGCAGTTTCGGAAGGGGGACGAAAGGGGGGAAGGGGGGGTCTTCCGCCACCGCTTCCGCCTCCTACTCCTTGTTTACATTGCACAGGCTCTGGCTGATTCAGCGCAGCGTCCATTCAGCTCTGGCTCAGCTTACCGCTCCTCCCCCTCCTCAATCTGACCACCTCTCTTGCTGCATCAGGTTGTTTAGCTCGTGTGGGAGGCGAGGTAGTTAAAGCCTACATCAGCTACACATGCGAAAACGGAAGGCACGGCATATATATATATATATATATATATGCACATATACATATATTATCTGGTTCTTAGTTCCCCAAACAATGTTTGCACTCAGGGGTTCTCAGTGTGCCAGGCACGCCTGATGCGCCAGATGCGCCACGTGCCTCCGCGTGCGCCAGGTGTGCCGCATACTCCAGCCGCGCAAGGTGCACCACGTTCGGGGCACGTGCAGAGAGTGTCAGGTGCGCCTGTGCACACGACAGCACACATCGGGCCCCAACCATCCTCGTCGAAGACCAATTCCCATCATTGTGTCTGGTGGGCCTGCGCACAGCAGGCCATACGAGCACCCCCGCTCTCCCTGTCAAAAACCACTTGACAGGGATCGTGGGATGGTCGCGCATGATTCAGGTTTAGCCGCGATGTGCATTTTGTATTGCGTTTGTCCGGGATCGTAGCCCTGCGCACAGCAGGCAATATGTTGACACCCCCGATGTCCCTGCCAAAAATCAATACAATGTTCACGGGCCTCACAAACATGTCTCCAGATGTTGCCCCCAAGTGTACGTTGTATTGCTTGACAAGAATAGTTTTGGGGGGGTCCTCATGGGGTCATTATTGTTTCTTGTTGGCTGCCGGTCGCCTGGGGGAGAGGGGGTGCATATCAATAGTGACCAGTGATATAGACCTTTCCCCGAAAGGGAAGAAGGAGGGTGGAAGAGGAGCCTCCCTAGACCACCTATCCCCAGAGGGCTGGTGGGATTGGAGATCGTGTTGAGCCATCTTGAAGGCCAGCTCAGGGCCCTTTGTGGCCCAGGGGGAACAGCATGCGTGATGGGTGTTTCAATTTGAGGTTCTCTTAAGGAGTCTTGAGGGGCCGACAGGGTGTCTCTGGCGGTCCAAGGGGCACGAGCTTGAGGAAGCGAGCAGTGTGCCGAGTTGAAGTTCTTCTGGGCCGTCTTGACGGGCCATCCGACGGCTCCTTTCAGCCCACGAGGAACGAAGTGGGTGAGGGGTGTGCCGACTTCAGTTTTCCCGGGGGCCGGCTAGGGGAGCCAGTTGATTGGTCTTGGAGGCCCACGGGGGCAAAAAGTTGAGGTTTGGCAAGGATCGCCTCGTGGAAATAGCTTGGGATCGTCTAGGACCATCTTGGGACATGCCACGCATTGATCCTCGTTCCTGGACCGCTGTTGGGCTCCCGTGGGCCTATCCTGGGGCGCTTCTCGGAGTCTTCGGAGCCCCCTTGAGACTTGCTTGGGACCCGCTCGGAGCCATCTTGGGCAGCCCTCTCTTCAGGTTACAGGCGACGTGGACACTTGTCTGGCGGGGCATTCTCTTCCTTGTTCGGCACACTTCGATACCATATCCATCCCCTGCGCTCCCTTTGCACGCTTTCCCCTCGTTCCGCCCTCCCTGTCGTAGTCGTGGTGGTCGTCGTCGTCTTCGTTTTGCACAGCTCTGTTTTTCCATCGCATCTGTTTCACATTGATCGTACCACCTGGTGCCTCCAGGCGCCCACGTTCGGTCAACTAGCCGTTGGGGGCACAGCCTGGAGAGGTCGGTAAGCAGGCCGCGTCGTCTTGTTTCTGATCGCGTTTGCGTCTCACGTGCTGTTCAGCGAGCCCGACAGCCCTCCAGGGGCCCGGGCGCGGGTGACCCCCGCGTCGTTGCATCTGCATCCACATGTGAGGATTTCGAGCGATTTCGGCTGCTTTACTGTGTGCGTGGGCTGCCTTGCGTCCCCATGACGCCCCAGCTCCGAACAAAAGCATGCTTGAATCAGTGTGAGAATCATACTGGGAAGACCAGAGGCAAACATCACTCAAGCACATCATGACTTTGAATGGTTCGTTCCTCCTACATGGCGGAGGGCCTCTTGGGGGCTGTCTGGTAACATCTTGGGCCACCTCGGGCCTATCTTGGGGCATGAAACCCATTGATCCCCTGGGCCTCTGGTTGGCTCTCTTAGAACACTCTTTGGGCGATCATGTTGGGGGTCCTGAAATCTGCGCCTAGGCGCGAGGTCATATCTGGCCCGAGTTGCCCTGGACCTGCTCATGGCGCTTCTCCTCTGAGTACACCACCGCCCCCGCCCCCCCCTCGTTCCCTCCGCCTCCGCCCCCCTCCCCCCATCCGCCTCCTCCATCGCTCCTTGGATCCGCCCTCCTCCCTCGCTCCCTCCGCTTCCCTCCCCCCTCCCTCCTCCCCTTGCTCCCCGCCCCCCCCCCGCCCTAGAAGTCCCGACCCATGCCCATCGCGAATCTTTTTCGGACGGCCCCAGGGCCCTGCGAGGGCTCCCAGAGGCTGGGGACGGTCATAGACCTCCCCGTGCGATCTTCCCACGACGCGACGACTCAAGTCCGACTAGAATTCTATTCTAGTTCGACACAAGTCGACGGACGCTCGACGCAGCATCGACGCACGAGTGGAGCGAGTGGCTCCACTAAGGTTCCCAGACTGGGCGTCTAAATGTCGAGGTCTATTCCCCCCCCCCGCCCCCCCTGCAACCGAGAGGGGGCTGTGGGAGGCCCCCCTCTCGCAATCGAGAGGGCGCACGGGAGCCCCAAGGGTGGAGAGCGAACCAGCCCACGAAGACGACGACGACGACGACGACGACGACGACGACGACGACGACGACGACTAGTGCTGGCTTGGGGCTCTACAGCCAAGGCGCTGAAGTAAGGACATGAGGACCGCTTTGGGTTCGCATGGGGTTCGCCAGTCTCATGCTCTTGAAGAACGTTCTTCTTGCCCAGGTCCGACTGACAATCCGATCCAGAGCGTTCCGGAACGCTCTGAGAAGGCCCGGGCGCCCGAGACATCCTCCAGAGCCACCGCATCTCAGAGATCCCCGACTTGTTCCCACGCGAAAGTATCCCCGCCTCGGCTTCGTCTTATCGGAGGAGGACATCTGACCGTGCTGGGGCTGTGTCGACTCGCCCGCCCCGCCCGGCGGCCGCAGGCCCAGGCGGCCCCGACGGCGCGCCCTCCCCCAGAGCCGCCGCCCGCCGCCGCGCTGGCCGCGCTGAGGGCCGCCTGGGAGGAGCCGCGGCCGCCCGGCGGCGGCCGGCCGCGGCCCCCTTTGCCGTTGGGAGGCCTCCTCCTCCACCTCCTCCTCCTCCTCCTCCTCCTCCTCCTCAGCAGTAGCAGCATCTGCATTAGCATCAGCATCAGCATCAGCATCAGCAACATCAGCAACATCAGCATCATCAGCATCATCATCATCATCAGCATCATCATCATCATCATCATCATCATCATCATCATCATCATCATCATCATCATCATCATCATCATCATCATCATAATCAGCATCATCATCATCATCAGCAGCAGCATCATCGTCATCATCAGCATCATAATTTCGCCACCATCATCATCCTCAGCATCATCAGCAGCATCAGCGTCAGCATCAGCATCATCATTGTCATTGTCATCATAATCGTCATCGTCATCGTCATCATCATCATCATCAGCATCATTATCAGCAGCAGCATCAGCATCAACATCAGCATCATCATCATCATCAGCATCAGCAGCAGCATCAACATCATCATCACCTCCCTCCCTTCGCCCTCCCCATCTCAATCCAGCGGCCCCCTTGCCAGGGGACGTGCCATGGGACGTCGCATGCCGTGGACGTGTCAGAGACGCGCCACGGGTTCGTACCAGGGGTCGCGTACCTCCCCCCGGAACCTGGGAAGGTTATAGTCCAGGGGTTGCCACCATGCACTAACCAGGTATCCAGTCGTAGAGGTCCCCAGGAGGCCCCAAGAGGCGCCCAAGAGGCCCGAGCCCAGAACCTCTCGAGCCATGAAAAAATCATGACGGAGGGTGTTCCTCTATTTTCGGCATTTGGGGATTTTTAGCAGGCCTCGGGGCGTTCAAAAAGCGGCTCGGGATGAAGAACCGACCCCGGGGGATGGGTCCAGACCAGTCGGGTTCGACGCAATGAACAAAATCATGACGTCGGGGGTCTTCGAGGGACGGAGGGACCCACCGTCCTTCCTCTCCCTCCCCCCCCCCCTCCCTCCCTCCCTCATCTACAATTCTACCATGTAAATACTATGTTCCTCCCTCCCCCGACGACGCCGAGGTCGTGGCCTGCCCCCCTCCGCAGATTGTCTTTTACATATGTGAGCAATCAGATTTGGTTGTTCCAATCGGAACGTTTTCGGTGTTTCTGGATTGGCGTTCCCGCTACAGCGTTGACTGAATGTTTTGGCCCTCGGTCCTTCCAAATCAAGTCCCGCCGCAGCGCTGACCTCATTACTTTGTTGCGGATGTTCCAAATCGTGTTCCCGCTACAGCGCTGGCTTTCCTGTATCGTTTGTGATTGTTGGTGCGTTTTCCAAAAGTTTGGTTGTCGATCTTTCAGAAAGGCGGTCTCGCTTCATGATTAGCTGAATGTCCGCACTTCCGGCTCTTCCACAATGGCGTTCCCGTCTCATCGTTGGTTTCATTTCCGTGTTTCCGGCCAAGTTGGAGAGGAAGTCCGCTTCGCCGAACGAGCTCCACGAGATGGTGCGATACTGCCGCGTGCAGAGGCTCAAGACCAAGAACGCCAAGCAGGACGAGCAGGTGAAGATCCAGTTCCTGCTGGATACGACGACGAACGACGGGGTGGTCCTTCTCAAGGCCATCCGCGAGGCGTTGGTGGAGCAGGGGGCGGAGAAAACGATCGGAGGGGCCCCCCGAGGCGTCCTGGTGAGGGAGGCTCAGAGGCTGTTGGACCTTGCGAAATAGTGACGGCAGCGGCTTCGGGATCCAGTGAAATAGCGACGGCAGCGGCACCAGGATCTTGTGAAGTAGTCAGGGCCCCTGGCGTAGAAACACCAGGTCAGGTGCTACTTAGAGTTGCTTCCGAAATGGGGGTCACCAGAGGTCTCCGCGGGCTCTCTCCCACTAGGCCTGCCAGAATGGCGCCTGACCTGGAGGCTCGTTCAAGTGATAGTTTCGAGCAGGCTCCTGGTTCTAGCAGTTTTTCTGTTCCCTTGGGGGCGTGCTCTGATTGGAGTTCCAGTCGCCACGCTCAGAGGCTCCTGAGACGAGGCTTGCTGAGCGAATCGGCTGCGCAGCGGGTTTCGGGACTGGCTGAAACGTCCACCCCCTTCACTCTTTTTCCTGCTGCGATCCCCGCTCCTCCTGGCCTTGAGCCTCCTTCCTCCTCTCCTGCTGCTGCTGCTCGCCCATCTCCCGTCTATTTTCCTTCGGCTCCCGAAGCGGGGCCAGCCATCGCACCCCCTCGTCCTCGCCCGCCAGGTAAGGGAATTGGGCGGCACCGTCCAGGCAGGTAGGTGGGGGCGGCGCCGTGGGCGGCAGCCTCAAGGCTGCGCGCCTGCTGGGCCCGCCGCCAGGCCAGTGTCGGCCCCTTTTCGGGCGCCGATCAGCGCGCGTGCGGCGTGTCATGATAGCCCTCCACACGGAGAACCCAGGCGCCGCCTTTCTCTGCGGCATGCTTGCTCAGATGGTAGCTTGCAGTCTGTAGAGTTGACACGGACTGGCGCCCCACGGCCCTATCTTATCCTATCCTCCCCTCCCCCCTTTCTCTCCCTCCCTCCCTCCCCCCATCTCCCTCCCTCCCTCCCTCCTATCCCACCCTCATTTTTCTCCCTCTCCTCCCTCCTTCCTCCTCCCTCTCTTACCTCCCTCCCTCCCTCCCTCCCTCCCCCCTCCTCTCCCTCCTCCTCCCCCCCTCTCCCTCCTCCCTCCCGGGGGGGGGGGGGGATGGAGGGGAGGAGGGAGAGGAGGGAGGGAGGGAGGGAGGGAAGCCAGTTCGGATCGCCAAGAGTCTCGGAGCCCGGATGTCCAGCAACCCCACCACCTGCGAGTACGAGTTCAAAGCCCGTATGAGCGTTGTCCGTCAAGCGTGGTATCATATTGGTGGGTTCTGGACACCTCGAGGCGTCCCGGATCGTCCGCGTCGCTGCTTGTTGAGTTCAGAAGAAGCTAGTGCGGCTCTTTATGGGGTCGAGGCGTTCTTCCCGACTGCGCAACGGGCACACAGGCTCCAGGCTGCTGTTGCGCAGCATGCTCGGAAAGCCATGCTTGGCCAGGCTGTCGATTCGACATCAGAGGCCCACCCCAAGAGCTGTTCCTCAGAGTCTGTTATCGGGCGGTGGCGTCTCGCACCCCCTGATCGGGAAATTCGCATCCGTCGTCTTGACTTTTGGAATGCCTCCATGTTTCCACGTGGTCAGTGTCAACATGATTGAAGTGGAGGGTAACTTTACTTGAGCGGCTGAATGGTCCTTACTTATAATACTTGGTTGCTGACCCGGACTGCGCTGCAGAATCTTGGAACTATGACGCGCACCAATTTTGCACTGTTGCGCTGTCGGTCCAATTCCTTCTCCCTGGGAGCTCGTCTGCTTCTGGTGCTCCGATTGGGGGAGGTGCGGGGGTTGAGGCTATGCATTCCTGCACGAGCGTGAGTGAGTCTGGTGAGGCACGCGGGAGGCACTACCGGACACACGAGCCGTTCACAACCATCTGGTTAGCCATCATGGGTCTCGATCTCTAGCTAATGTCGTCACGGTGACTAACCAGTGCTGTGTGTGTCTGGCGGTTATTGAACATCTTGAGGGTGTCCAACGTCATCTGTGTGGGAGTATGGTCAGGGGTTAGCGCCACGCGAATTGGATTTAGACTCGAGCTGCATTTCGGACCACATCATCGCTAACTTGCCGACTGTGCTCTTTCTCTGCAGGCGTTTTGGCCGAGCTGTAGGTGCATCTTAGGTCTCATCTTAGCCCGTTTTCCCTTCCACCAGCAAATGGATGTCGCGCCGTCATGGACGCAGGCAGCGCCCGCCGCGGGCGACGCCTCAGGCCCCAGAGCGCAAGAGCCCACGCCGGCGAGGAGTTGCTCGGCCAGGCGCAACCGGAGGGGAAAAGCAACGGCGGCGCGTCCGGGGTTGTTTGTGCCATTTTTGCGCGGTTGGCCTTCAGCAGCGCCGCCGAGTTTCGCGAGCTACTTGGCGCGGTCTCCGTCAGGCTCCTCGCAAACGCAGCGCGCAAATTCATTTGGGCCGCCCCAGGTGGCAGGCGCGGCCTGTCATCCAGAGGCCTGGCGGCGGAAGGCGGACGGCAACACCGAGACCACGGGCGCACCATTCGCGCAGGTGTGGGCGGCGTTGGCGCGGGACATTCGACAGGGCACTCAAACGGCGGAGATCGTCAAGCCATTGCAGAAGCATTGCAGAGAGTTCAGCATGCTGAACGACATAGACACCGCGGTCACCAGTGTTCCAGCACGTCGGGTCCGTCCGACACGCAAGCTGGTGGCAGTAGGCCATGGCGCGAGTCACAGTCGCGGTGGGTCCATACCATCATTATTTCGCGACGGCAGTGGTGAGGTTTTTCAATCGAACTGCGGGGCCAGGACGTACGGGGCGGCACCGAAAAGAGCTCTCGAGCGCGATGCTCGAAGTTGTTGGGCACGTTGGAGGGCAAGCAGCAGTGATGTACGTCCTTGTGCCTGGAGGCGATGTTCAACAGAGTGTTCTTTCGCCTGGCGTGAATGACGTCCGACAGAGTTCTTTACCACCACGGCGCGAGTAGTGTTCGCCAGTGATCTTTCTTACCGTATGATCATGATCTTCGTTTGGATTTAATCGATGCGCTTTCGGCCGATGATCGCCAGAGGTATTTCCCTCAGTGCATTTGATTGATGTTCGGCTGAAGTTGTCCCTTCTGCTCTGGGGGAGCTGACGTGGGCGCGGGCTCACACGGGAGGCGGGTTCGCCTACGATGCCGGCGGGCGAACGTGTGCACATTTGATCATAGGTTGCCTCTCTCGGGGACCAGCCTGCGGGGTGGCGGACCTGTAGTTCGGACCGCTGCAGTCCGCGAGGGGCCTGCTGCACCGTCGGTTCCTCCGTGGAGTGGCATCCGTCTTGCGGGACCCGGGGCAGACGGCGAGGCCGCCAGCCCCCTGATCACCATCCAGGTGCGCGAGCCCGGCCTGCGTCACGATACCGCGCATTCTCTCGGGGTCCGCCTCGGGTCCTCGCCCTCGGCCCTCGGTCGGTTCGACGCGTTTCGACCTCCGCCTCCTGCGCGTCGCCCTCTGGTTCCCCATCCCCCCCCCGCCCTGATGTCGCGGGGTAGTGAGCGCCATGTTGCGCCACGGCGTCGTGGTTTGCTCCCCTCCCCCCCGTCGTCGGAGTCCCCGGGACAGGGGGCCTGGCGCCTCTGGCATGTCGATGGCGCCCAGGGAGGCCGAGGACCGATGCGGCTTTATAGGGGGGATCCCATGTCAGCGAGCGAAAAAAAGGTACAAAATAAACTTTTTCGCTGTCGGGGGCGCCTGTCCCTGGGCGGCTGGAAAGTTTATACCCCTACGGTGCCACCGTAAGGGTATAAACTTTCCAGCCGCCCAGGGACAGGCGCCCCCGACAGCGAAAAAAAATATGTTATACCGTTCTTCGCCGGTTAACCATGATCATCACGTTGTTCTTATAGCCGTGGCCCGTGCGACGCCCGCGAGTCGGCGAGCGAATAGCGCGGATTCTCGGAGGCCTGCTAAGTGCCCGACCGGGTCTTTGGGTGGGTGGGCGTGGTGCCATGAGACGCATTTTCGATATCCCTCGATGAGGGGCCGCCTCCAGGCGTCAGCGCTCCCAGCCAAGAGGGGCACCCACGTAGGAAGTCTGCTGCTGATTCTACTTCGACCAAGCCTATCTGAGTCGCCTAGCAATGGGACGCATTGGGTCCGTTAGTGGTGTTGCGGTGCTATGCCTGTCGCCCCTCCTCCTGCTTCGTGTCCTGTTCCTCGTCCTCCGCCTCCTCATCCCCCTCCTTCTCCTACTCCTCCTCCTCCTCCTCCTCCTCCCTCCTCCTCCTCCTCCTCCTCCTCCTCCTCCTCCTCCTCCTCCTCCTTTTCCTCCTCCTCATCCGTCTCCTCATCCTCCTCCTCCCTCCTCCTCCTTCTCCACCTCCTCGACCTCCTCCTCTTCCTTTTCCTCCTCCTCTTGCTCCCCCTCCTCGTCCTCGTCCTCCTTCTCCTCCACGTCCACCTTTGTCCTTCTCCTCATCATAATCCGCCTCATCATCGTTGTCCTGGTCCTCGTCCTCCTCATCATCATCATCATCATCAGCAGCATCATCATCATCAGCAGCAGCATCATCATCATCATCGGCAGCAGCAGCAGCATCAGCATCAGCATCAGCATCGTTATCGTCATCGTCATCATCATCCTCATCGCCATCATCATCAGCATCAGCATCACCATCAGCAGCATCAGCATCACCATCAACATAATCATCAGCAGCAGCAACATATCTCCCTCATCCCCTCATTCTCATCATCGTCAGCAGCATCAGCTGCAGCAGCAGCATCAACATCATCATCAGCAGCAGCATCATCAGCATCAGCATCGTCATCATCATCGTAATCATCATCAGCAGCAGCATCATCATCATCATCATCATCATCATCATCATCATCCTCTTCAGCATCATCATCAGCAGCATCATCACCAGCCGCAGCAGCATTCCCCTAATCTGCATCCTCATCCTCACACTCTTCCTCTTCCTCCTCCTCCGCCTCCTCGTCCCCCTCATCCGCATCCGCATCATCTCTCCTCAACTCATCCCCCTCCTCCAACATCCTCCTCATCCTCCTCCTCCTCATCGTCGTCCCCCTCCTCGTCGTCCTCCTCGTGATCGTCCTCCTTCTCTCTTCTCCTCCTCATCCTCCTCCTTCTCCCTTCTCCTCCTTATCATCCTGCTCGTCCTCCTCCTCCTTCTCCTCCTCTTCCTGCTCCTACTCCTCGTCCCCCTCCTCCTCCTCCTCTTCCTCATCCTCTTCCTCCTCCTCCTCCATCATCATCATCATCATCATCATCATCATCATCATCATCATCATTATCATCATCATCATCATATTCCCTCCTCCTCTCCCTCCACAATTACACCATATGAATACTGCTCTCCTGTCTCCTCTGATGACGTTCGGAAGATGTCCAGTTCCCCTCCGCGTGTTGTTTTTTGTTCACACGGGGTTCCCTGGAATAGAGTATTCGCTTGGGTTGTTTTTCAAATTGCTGTTCCCGCTGAAGCGCTTGCCTCATGTTTGGGCTTCCGCTCGTTCCGAATCGTGCTCCCGCTGCAGCGGTGACCTCATTTCCGCGCTTCCGCTCGTTCCGAATCGTGCTCCCGCTGCAGCGTTGGCATCATTGTTTCAAGTGCCATGCCACGGCATGGTTTTCGGTCCTTCCAAATAGCCCCAAACATCTAGATCATGCCCCCCCAGAAAAATCATTGGATTTGGGGCCGCAGAAGCGCCCCCCCCACTTTGGGGCGTCGCCACGCCATGCTATGTCATCCTACGCGTTGATCTTCAACACCATGCTATGCCATGTAATGCTATGCCATGCTGCGACATCCGACTGTGCGACTAGCACGGAGATCTACGCCATGGTAAGGGATGGGAAGGAGGGTTAGGAGGTCACATATGACGCGAGCGCACCTAGCTCGTCCTCTTCCTCCTCCTCCTCCTCCTCCTCCTCCTCCTCCTCCTCCTGCTCCTCCTCCTCCTCCTCCTCCTCCTCCTCCCCGCGGGGAGGAGCATTCCGAAGCGGCGGCGGAGCGACGCGCCGCGGAGCTGCACGCGCACCGGGCGCAGGCGTCCGAGCGCCCTGTGCCTCCGCCGCAAGCGTGGGACGGATCTTAGAGAGGGAGGGGGATGGACATGGAGGAGGAGAGCGGGGGCGGGGAAGGGAGGTGCGAAGGAAGGGGGGAGGGGGAAGAGGAGGGGGAGGGAGGAGGGGGATGGGGCAGGGGGAGGGGAGGAGGAGGAGGAGGAGGAGAAGGATCAGGAGGGGGAAGGAGGGAGTTTCCGCAGCCATGTTGCTTCAAGGCTAAACGTTGTGAAGGGCCATAGACGCCCGAGAATCAGCGATTAGCTTTGCGGCCTATCCGTAGGCCTGTATCGAGAAGATCACGGGCCGACAGGCGGCCCACATTCCGGCGATTCCTTTGCAGCCAATCTCTCGCCCGCACTCGCGTCAGACATGGCAGGGGACCACGACCGCAGCAGGAGCGGCGAAGGCCGCCGAGCAGCGGCGGAAGCGACGCTCTCGATGCTCGCCAACCTGGAGGACATGGCCACTTCTCCTTATCAGGAGCGTCCTGTTCTGCCCACCGGCGGCGAGCTTGCCTTTGAGGTGGTGGGAGGGGCAGCCACCCCTCGTGGACGAGCGCCCAGCACCCCTCAACCAGAGGCAGACGACGACATCTCATCGCTCAGATCTTACGTGGACAACACCCGTGACGAGCTCCTCCGTGCAGCGGGATCGCTCCAGAATGGTGCGGGCGACCTGGCCAAATCCGTGGCCAACAACTGCAACGCCTTGGGCCGCCAAATGGAGAAGCGTTTGGGGCAGGTCGAGTGGAAGCAGTCCCAGCAGGATGCACGCATATCTAAACTCGAGAATGGAATCGCCGAGCTTCGCAACCATCTTGGTGTCATGCGGACTGAGCCGCCGAAGCCGATTGCTGTTCCAGACTCCTCCTTCCACCGTGCTCCAGATGTGGCTGTTATCATCGCGAGGACCCGAGCCCCTGTGGGCAAGGACCAACTCTTGGAGGCCCTGCAGCCGTGGTTCGCCAAGATCAAATTGGATGAGGTTCAGTACGCCGTCGAGAGCGACCCTGTGGACAAGAGATTCGTGCTTCGCATCAAGGGCATTGCGACCCTGGCTGCAAGGCGCGTGGCGCAGGCCCTGGGAGCGCTCAAGCAACCCGACGGCTCCTGGCAGAAGTTCGCGACTGTGGACACGCAGGGCTACCCGACGGACAGCTTCCTTTCGGCGGACAAATCGCCTGCGATGGTCCGTACCGAGATCACGGGCGAGCAGGCGTGGCAGGTTTTTCATCAACTTTACCCCCGGCCAAGTTCTTCACGGATCGGCAGCAGGGCACCATCGCATGCGAGTGGAAGCAATTTATTCGCATCACGATCCCGAGTGCGACGTCGGCACTCGCCCTGGAGTTCTGCGCTAACAACATCAACACGCTTGGCTCCGACCTGGCCGCGATCAGGAATGCGATCTCCTTCACCTCAGTCCCGCAGCAGGAGAAGGTGGAGTGGTGCCTTTAACCCGATCCTCAAGGAGTGGCAAGGGCGTGCCCCGCGTCCCACCCCGCTGTCGAATTCGACTTGGAACGTTCGTGCTCTGGTTCACCACAGTCTTGCGGGCGCGTGCCCGCAAACTCTCATATGTTCGTCAACTTTTGAAGCAAGGGGCTTTAGTTGCGATGCAAGAGTCTCGTGGCACGCGAGCTGCGGTGGACGGCCCTTCTTATATTACTTGCATAAGCCGTTCGTCGCCTACTCTTCCTTTGCCGACGACAGCACGCCAGTGGCGCGATCACCTTCGCGCCCGATTTTCTTCTCTCTCACCTTCGTTCCCCGCCTGGGGTCTCAGCGCAGATGTTGATCCGTGGGAGGGCCCTGCGCGTGGACATTCGTTGCAGGTCTGGCATCTCGATCATCCACTAGAACATTCAGAACCACGACATCAACGCGAACTCCCGAAAGTACACTGAAGAGGTTTTGAAGAAAGACTTCTTTGAGGCCTCCAGGCGCCCCCTCGAGTCCATGGTCCTTCTGGTGGGTGACTTCAATTTTTCCGCGGGACCTCCTCGCCCTCTCGCCCCTGACCCTGCTCGGCATGGCCAAGGAGCCCAGGTTTCTATCCCAGGGGACTCTGCGTGGAATAGAAGACTCAGGTGGTTTACGGGGGCGGAGGTGGAAGGGGAAACACAACGCAACAAAGCTAACAACACGCTGAGCTCCATCGACAGAGTCCTGGTGTCTGCGCCTGGGCGTACCCCCACCCAGCTCCACGCCACTGCGCTCGTGCACGGCATGCCCGAGAGCTTAGATCAGAAACGTCTCCCCGACCATGCGGCAGTCTCCGTCTCGTTCAAGTGGAAGGGCCCCGTGGACCCAGAGAGACGGAACATTCCGAGGGATATTTTTCAGAAACCACAATATATGCGAAGTTTCCCCAGGGCGTTTTGAGAGCTGCTGAAACGCCAGGGCTCACGCCGCCGTTGCCCCTCGAGCTTCACAGGAAGATGATGGGGGCTGCAGCGCAACGCGCCCGAGATTGTGTTATCAAAAACCAAACATCGCCCGGTTTCCCCTCTGGCCGTTCTTATGCCTCCCAAATCTATGTCTTGGGCGCCCTGGCATAAGGATATGAAACTCGCCCTCCGACTTCTCAGGACCCATATCCCCGAAACTTGCGCGAACGTGGATGTGCTGCAAGCCGCTGTTAGCCTCAAGGGGCCCCCTTTCATCACTCCCGCCAAGGGGGCTGGTGGGATCACCCCAGGGGAGCACCCCAATAGCAGCAAAGGTGAAGAGGAGAGGCGGGGTGGCCGCGCCACGCGCTCGGGGCGTGACCCGTCCCCCTGAGCGGTTCGCTCATTATGTCCTTTGTTTCGGCCGCGTTCTCCGCCTCCTCCCCCCCTGCCCGTTTAGGCATTTCCGTTCGCTCAGATGACCCCTGCCAAGGAATGGAGGAGAGAGGGGAGGAGGAGAAGGAAGAAAAAGAAGAGGAGGAGGAGAAGAAGGGGGAGGACGGGGGAGGACGGGGGAGGAGGAGACGGAGGAGGAGGAGGAGGAGGGATAATGTGTTGTGGGGGGAGGATGATAACGATGAGAAAAACCAGTGCTACTTGGGATCGGGGCCGCTGGGGCCAAACATGCAGCCGGCATGGAGGCGAGAGCAGGGTTCCCGAACACGTTGTGGGAACGACGCCTTGTGGCTCCCCGTCCCCCCAGTGCGTGTCCTCCTCCTCCTCCTCCCCCTCCTCCTCCTCCTCCTCCTCCTCCTCTTTCTCCTCCTCCTTCTCCTCCTCCTCCTCCTCCTCTTGCACCTCCTCCTCTTCCTCATCCCCCATCCTCCTTTTCCTCCTGCGTGGAACGCTATCGCGAGCCCGTTATCGTGAAGCGCCGTCATGACGTTGACTCAGGCCCAGCGGGAGAAAAAAGAGGGAAGGAGGAAGGGAGAGAGGACGGAGAGAGGCGGGATGGAGGGAGGGAGAGGCGGAGGGAGGGAGGGACAGAGGGAGGGAGCGAGTGAGGGAAGGAGGAAAAGGAAAAGGAGGAAGAGGAGGACGAGGAGGAGGAGGAGGACGAGGAGGTGGAGGAGGAGGAGGAGGAGGAGGAGTAGGAGGAGGAAGCGGAAAAGGAGGAAGGAGAGGAAGGAGGTCGCAGGCGATGTTATCTCCCAGAAGTTACGAGTTCCTCCCATAATTATTGGCCGCACAGAATGGATAGGACACTCGGGGGATGCACCGTCAGGGGGTCCTGCTGGGACGCACGCTTCTCCAGGAGGTGGGCGCTCCCCGAAGCGTACATCTTCGAGCTGGGTCCAAGTTTTGTTGTTCCGAGACTGGGGTCGGGGGTTGTTGAGGGTGCATCTGGCCCCAGGTGCCCCCAGTTGTTCGTCTCATGTTTGAGCCCCTGGGCTCCTTTGGCCTCGTGGGGGGTGCTCTGGACGCTGCGGGGGCCTCCTTGGAAATCCTGGTGGCACCTTGGGCCAGGGGCACTTCTGGCAACACCCGACGGGGCTCAGGGGCAACGTTAGGGGGGGCTCATCTTGGGGGGGGGGCGCAAAGACCCCCAATCGCTAATTGATCGCCGATGGGGGGCCGATGGCCCCAATATGCCCAGGAGCGTGCGATTTTGCCATTTGGGGCCCTGACCCCCCGGAGGCTTCCAGAGGCCTGGCCGATGGCCAACGACGAGCGGATGCCTGCCTCACCTGACCCGCGGAGGGTCGAGGGCGAAGCTGGGCAAAAAATGGGCGCGTGCGCGGCAGCGGCGATGGCACGGCGGAGGAGGACCAGGAGGAGCAGGACGAGGAGCAGGACGAGGACGAGAAGGAGGAGGAGGAGGAGGAGGAGGGCGAGGAGGAGGAGGAGGAGGAGGAGCAGAAGGAGGAGGAGGAGGAGGAGGAGGACGACGACGACGGCGAGGAGGAGGAGGAGGAAGACGACGAGGACGAGGAGGAAAACGAGAAAGGGAGGAGGACGAGGAGGAGGAATGGAAGAAGGAGGAGGAGGAGAAAGGAGGAGGAAGGAGGAGGAGGAAAAGGAGCAGAAGGAGGAGAGGGACTCGGCTTGGTAGCTTTAGCCGTTGCAATGGCCCCGCACGCACTATAGTCCAAGGCAGTATTCTCCGCGTCTGGACGGTTCGCGTGAGCCACAACTTGTCTTCATACAGCACACCTGTGGAAGCCTCGCACACCTCCTCCAAAGACAAGAAGTGAGAAGGAAGGGAGCGAAGATCCCGCGCCCTCCAGAGTTTTCTTGCACACCACACCCTCCCTGCCCGAGTCAGGTGCCGCCGTCGGGGGCCACCGTCAGCCTTCAGTATACCTAGCCCCCCGCAATTGCGGATAAGAGTGAGGGGGCGGGCGCAGGCGACGTGGGCGTCGTCGAGCCGGCGGACCTTGTGGCCCCCACCTTCCCTGTCGATGGCGCTGTCCTCCTCCTCCTCCTCCTCCTCCTTCTCCTCCTCCTCCTCTTCCTCGTCCTCGTCCTCATCGTCATTGCCATCCTCCTCCTCCACCTCTTTCTCCTCCTCCTCCTCTTCTTCCTCGTCCTCCCTCTCCCCCCCTCGTCCTTTCATCATCGTCCTCCCATTGTCGTCCTCCCCCTCATCGGCCTCCATCATCGTCATCCCATTGTCGTCCATCATTATCATCATCATCATCATCATCATCAGCATCATCATCATCATTATCCTCATCATCATCATCATCATCATCATCATCATCATCATCATCATCATCATCATCATCCCCCTCCTCCCCCTCCTCGTCCTCCTGCTCCTCCTCCTTTTCTTTCTCCACATTATCCTTACATCCTCTCTTCTTCCGCGTTCTCCTCGTCCCCTGTTTACTCCTCCTGCCTCCCCCTCCTTTCCCAAGATAACGGCAACGCAATCCTTTTTGTCCACTTTATGCTCCCCGCCTTCTTTGATGAAGGCAACTCGCCAGGGCAGAGTTGCTGGACGGGCTGGTGTGGATGCGCGGGGCTTGAAGAGGTCCTTGCGGGCTCAGGCGGCATGCAAAAATCCGCTGCCGCGATTGTGCGGCATTGGTTTGTTCAGTGAACGTGGTTTAGGTCGCGGGTGGGTCGCGGGTTCTCCACATCCACCTGGAAGGAATGCAAAAGCAACCCGCCGCAGGCGCCAAAAAAAATGGTTTGCACCTTGAACGTGGTTTGGGTCGCGGGTGGGGCGCGGGTTCTCCACCGGGAACGAATGCAAAAGATGCCCGCCGCAGGCGCCGAAACATGTGGTTTGTACCCTGAACGTGGTCGCGGGTGGGCCTCGGGCTCTCCACCTGAAGCGAATGCAAAAGATGCCCGCCGCAGGCGCCGAAGAATGTGGTTTGTACCCTGAACGTGGTTTGGGTCGAGGGTTGGTCGCGAGTTGGTCACGGGGTGGGTCGCGGGCTCTCAACCTGGAAGGAATGCAAAAAAGCCCGCCGCAGGCGCCGAAAATGGTGGTTTGCACCTTGAACGTGGTTTGGGTCGCGGGTGGGTCGCGGGGTAGGTCGCGGGTGGGTCGCGGGTGGGTCGCGGGTGGGTTGCGGGTGGGTCGCGGGTGGGTCGCGGGGTGGGCCGCGCGGGTCGCGGGGGTCGCGGGGTGGGTCGCGGGTGGGTCGCGGGTGGGTCGCGGGGTGGGTCGCGTGGGGTGGGTCGCGGGGTCGCGGGGGGTCGCGGGTGGGTCGCGGGGCGGGTCGCGGTGGGACGACGACAACAAACAACAACACACAACAAGCAACAACAAACAACAACAACAACAACAACAACAACAACAACAACAACAACAACAACAACAACAACAACAACAACAACAACAACAACAACAACAACAACAACAACAACAACAACAACAACAATCATTTTACCCGAACGCGTGGTGTTCTCCCCAGTGCCAGGGTTTTCATACGACACCAGGCAATACCCCCACTTCGTGGGGGGGCATTACAAGCTCTACCAAATATCCAAACGACTCTTCGCGACCACCCAAACCCAGCTTCCCGCCCTATGACGTTGGGACACTTCACTTCGTGGCGTGCGGACGACCGTGGCTACTACACTGGCGTGGGGTACACACCCACAGAACTTGGTCACTTATTCGGGGCGCGCATGTGCCCAGCATGGTGCAATTGTGCCATACAATACATAATACGGAGAGACGAATGTGTCCCGCATGGTATTATTTGACAGGGATGATGGCCCTGGCAGGTGCGCAACCGTTGTCGCAGAAGTTCGAAAAAGTTGCTCGCAAAAGCCCGTTTGACAGAATTGTTTAAAAAGTGTTGGTTTTCCTACGAATCCGCAAGAGCGCGCGGAAGGACATTTTGACAATTTTTTCTTAAAAAACCATTGGGTTTTTGATGTTTTTATGTTAAAATCGCTACGAAACCTAAGGTTTTGGAAGGATTTCGTCTTGCGCGCACGAATGTCCACTTTACCTTATTTTTTGCAAGGGATTCTTGCAATTTGATCAAGTAAGAACAAGAATTTTCATTTTATAGTGTTTTTTGCAAGGGAAAACGGATTACAACAAAACAACCGGATCCGGACACAATCCACTTTTCTGAAGCTTTCGCTAGAAAATGAAGGAAATGAGGCTGCGGCCTAGGTTTTGGAGGGGGGTCGCGCACCAGGGGTCTCAACAATAATATTTCTTTAGAAGTAATAATATTCAACAACAACAACAACAACAATTACTAGCACGTGGGGACACTCCGTTCTCACCAGTGCCAGGGTTTTCATAGGAGGCGGGCAATACCCCCACTTTGTGGGGGGGCCGGTTCAAGCTCTACCAAATTTCCAAACGACTCTTCGCCACCACCCACACCCAGCTTCCCGCCCTATGACGTTCGGACACTTCACTTCGTGGCATGCGGACGACCGTGGCTACTATTCAGGGCCCCGCGGCCGACGACGACGGCGTGCGCGCGCGAAGAAAAAACGAATGTGTCCCGCATGGTATTATTTGACAGGGATGATGGCCCTGGCAGGTGCGCAACCGTTGTTGCAGAAGTTCGAAAAAGTTGCTCGCAAAAGCCCGTTTGACAGAAATGTTTAAAAAGTGTTGGGTTTCCTACGAATCCGCAAGAGCGCGCGGGATGAAATTTTGACATTTTTTTTTTGAAAAACCATTGGTTTTTTGATGTTTTTATGTTAAAATCGCTACGAACACTAAGGTTTTGGAAGGATTTCGTCTTGCGCGCGCGAATGTCCACTTTACCTTATTTTTTGCAAGGGATTCTTGAAATTTGATTATATTAGAACAAGAAATGTCATTTTATAGTGTTTTTTGCAAGGGAAAGCGGATTACAACAAAACAACCGGATCTGGACCCCATCCACTTTTCTGAGGCTTTCGCGAAAATGATGAAAATGTAGCTGCGGCCTAGGCGCGGCGGGGGGGCCGTGCACCAGGGGTCCCAACAATAATTATTCTTTAGAATTAATAATGTTCAACAACAACAACGAGAATCCGCACCGCGGAATTCCACTTCAGCCACGCACCCAGGGACAGTGAATGACCGTTCGGCCCCCTCACTCTGATATATATATATATATATATATATATATATATATATATATATATATATATATACATACAGAAACCCCGCCCCAGGGAGGGAGTCCTGCATACCAGACCCACGGCCAGAACCCTCGCCCGACCCCCCCAGGGCTCTTGGGTACTCCAGATTTCGTACTAAAGGGAGGGGGGTCTCATTTCGGGGGGGGGGTCTCTTCCAGGCTATCTTGGAGGGCCTGGGGGGTCTGGGGATGATGTTTTGGAGGGTTCTCCCACGGGGGAAGTCTGAAATGGCTTGTCTTGGAGGGTCCAGACCCCCTCCCTTTTATTACGAAATCTGGAGTATAGTCTTCCACTCTCTTCGGGCGAGCGGCGGGGCGTGGGCGGACGGCGGCTTGCACGCCAGCGGGAGGCCGCCGACCTCGCGCTGGCCTGCGCGGCCAGGGCGGAGGGCGCGCTGGCGCGCCGGGAGCAGGCCCGGGCCCCACTCGGCCTCCCTGGGCGCGGTGCAGCCTCTCCGTCGCCACGGTTAAAACGACGCGAAGAACGGGACAAAATCGGATCGGGATAACTCGAAATTTCTGGGAATCGGCGGGTTTGGAGAATGTATTGGGCACCGCGGCCGCTCCAGAGCGTTCCGGAACGCTCTGAGAGCGCTCCGGAACGCTCTGGAGCGATGTATCCCGATCCTAGCAGTGTTTTAACGGTCGGGATGGGAACGGAAAGAGTGGGCACGAAGACCGACAGCATGTTTTCTCTTGCCGAGCGCGTTCCGCTACTCGCAAGGTGCTTCTACTCGCCGACGTCCGGAGAGACACATGTTCGCCTCGTTGCAATGGATCGTAGACCCCGCGGCTGATCCATGCCGTTTGCGAGTAGTCATTTTGCGAGTAGTGGAACGCGCTTGTCGAAGTGTCCTTCTTGGACAGGGCTCGCTGTCGGTGTCGCCGCGGACGTTGCCCATTTGAGGCAGAAGGCTGGCTGCCCAACAGCGGCCGCTCTCGGTTTGGAACAATGTGTTGTTGGGCATCGTGCCCATGGTTTCCGTACCCATGTCTGGCGCCCAAATCTCAAGGACAGTTTCAGGGAAGCAATGGTTCAGGGGTGGATACGTCGACCTTTGATTGCACATTTATCGCCGACAGGGGCCCAGCAGCCTCACGGGCAACGTGATGACGGCCAGCTGCAGGCTCGAGGTTCAAATTGTTCTACGTGTTCGTCGGTTGTTGATTATTGGCGGTTCTCCCGGCTCGGGATGTTTTCCAGCAATTCCAGTTGTTGCGCTTCGCTCAGAGCGATCCAGAATCCAGAGGTACCAAGATCGCCCCGGACTACCGCCAGAGAGCCGAGTAATGGCCAAGGAGGAACAGTAGGGGGGCGGGGGATCAGCTCAGGGGCAACGCTAGGGGGGGATAGGCTCAGGGCGGGATACATCAACCACCGATCGCCCCTTGATCGCCGATCGGAGCCCCGCTGCCCACAGCTCCCAGGGCCATGCATTCTCGTTAGGGGGGGGGCGTATCGCCGATCGTTCGGCGATGCATCGCCGCTTCCAGCTCGATGCTCCCCACCCTGAGCTAGCCCCCGCCCCTGACGTTCCCCCTCCCGGGCGTGGCGCAGCCTCGCGCCTCCACGGGGGCGGGGGGGGCGTTTCTCCGGGCGGCCCCTGGCCTCGACGAGCAAAGGTGCGTGTTTGAGGGGGCGCTCTTGCCGCGGACGCTTGAGGGGCGGAGGAAGGCTTGCACCCCCCCTCCCGAATTCCACCGTCTGCCCCTCTTCACTCACTCACTCTCATGGCGGTTGACGGGTACTTCTGCAGCCATGCACACCTTGCCTGCATCTCCCACCCGGCAAGGACCTGGGTGGGAGGGGGGGGTTCATGAGGGAAGAGGTGAGGCGAAGACGGGGTGGGGGAAGAACCAGCGCTGGCACCTCTCATCGGGGAGGGGAGGAGTAGAGAGCGCCTGGACAGCATGTGAACAGGCGCGAGGCGAGGTGAGGATCGAGATCGGTGAAGGGGGGAAGAGAAAGAAGAAGCGGAGGTAGGTGGGCAGGTAGGAGCGCGGGGCCATAGGCCAGGACTTCTCCCCGTCCCCGGCAACACCATATCCCCTCTCCTGTCCGCGTCCCAACCTCCCAGATGTATTGAAAGAGGGCCGCGGCGACCGTCAGCCGCATGGCGTGGAAGGAGAAGTATTGACAGAGGGTTATGGCACCAGTCATCCGCATGTCATGGCATGGCGGAATGTGACAGTGAGAGAGGCGGAGGACCATATCAAGAGGACGAGGTGAGCGACATTTCGGCGAATTGTAAAATAGGGTCGGTGGGGGGAAGGAGCTGCTGCAGTTCGCATGCTCTCAGGGTAGAGGACAGAGTGGTGCTGTCAGCATGCTCTTTTGGCTGCGGTTCGCCTGCTCTTTTGAAGTGAAGTAAAAAGGCTCTCCCCAACCGACCGTGGAACACTTACTGTAAGATATCCGCGTCCACAGGGTTGCGGCGACAGTCAGCCGCATGGCGCGTAAGGAAATGCGTCGAAAGAGGGATGTGGCGAGAGGCATCCGCGCGGTATGGCATGGCAGAAGGTGACAGCGAGAGAGGTGGAGGACCAATTCGTGATATGAGAGGAAGGACTGGTAGACATGGCGGTGCGGTCTGGAACCTAGGCGGGGGTGGGTGGGTAAGAGCGCGCCGAAGAACGTCCCTCCCCCCTGCCCTCATTGCTCTCATCCCCCCCACCTGTCCTGACCTGTCTGGTCCTCAGAGGAGGCCTCAGATGTAGCTGTCGTCGCAGAGGTAGTCCCAGAGGCAGTAACCGCGAAGGCGGATGCCGATGAGCTCATCCGCTGGAGCTGGAGTAGGTGGAGTGTTCGGGGCCGGAGGTGTGTAGCCTGGTGGCTGGTGATGGGTGGGTAGTTGTACTTGTGGTCGGCGTCGGGCGCGTAGGCACCCATGCGGCTTCGCACAGTGGCGAGGATGGCGATCGCCAGTGGTTAGGGGCGTAGTTGGGTGACGAAGTGGTTGAGCTTGTCGAGGAATTGGTGGGCAAAGTCGTTGGCCGAGGTGATTCCTTTTGAATGTTTACGACCGTGTTGTAACTGACCCTGGTTCCCCTGCCATTGTGGCGACGGTGTTGAACTTGTCCAGGATGTCGTGGTAGTCGAATCGGCATTCGTTGATGTCTGCGATCAGGTCCTGTTTCCTGCTTCGCATGCTGCTGGATTGGGTGATGGTCCCGCGTGCCCAAAGCGTGTTGTTGTTGAAGGACATGTTGAGCATTGTGACCTCGTCGCCATCGTTGACAGTCAAAGTACCGTGGGCAAGGGAGTCCTCGAGCTTGGTGTGGTAAGGATAGCGCATGGTGGCTCCCATAGGGAAGGTGATTGCGTCGGGGTTTAACTTCGCCTAGGTGATCGTCGCAGCTGGGAGCCATCCAGTGGGCTTCTGGGGTTCCACTTGGATCGGGGGTGGTTGGCTGTCGTTCGCGCTGGGCGTAGTAAAGCTTGGCGTGGGGTCACAGGCGCTGGATGCAGTAGCGCGCATGTTTCGTTTTCCTGCTGTGGGTGTTCCCAGTTCGGTGCTCGTACCGTCGTGGTAGGTCTTGTCTTTTGCGTGCGTTGTGCTATCTTTTTTATGGTCGGTAATGTGGGTGGAGCTTTGAATATTGGTGGTTTGGGGTCTGGGTTGGGCGTGTTTCGAGGAGAGATCTGGTGAGCTGGGCTGGGTGTCATGGGCGAAGGCGCGGTACCTGGCATGTTGCTTGTCAGTGTATTGCCGCTGCTGGTAGGCATGGTCGTGCGAGTCAGGTTGGCTGTATTATCGGTTGTGGACGTCGATGTCGGTTGTTCTTTATGGGTCGTTTCTCCTTGCGAGGTCGGTGCCAGCTTCGGGGGGATCTCGCTGTGAATATATTGCTCGAAGATGTTGTGGCCGCCGTATAGTGCAAGCATCGGTTTGGGCCTCCTTACCTGCTCTATGCGATGGTGGATGTTGGATGCGCGTGGAGGGTGGGGGCCTAGCCCACGTATCGGTGCGACAACGGGCAAGTTGTCGCCGAAGATGATGAAGGTTTCGTTTGCTTGGATAAACTGGAAGTGGGGGAAGAAGTGGCCTGGTGCTTGCTCGCTGTACCATAGATCTGCTCGGTCGACCTATTCGTGGACGTCTGGTTCCCTGAGGTAGTCGGCCCGCATCTTTGCGAGCAAGTCGTGAATAGGTTGTGGCATGGCTTTGTCAACCTGCTCGCGCATGGCTGGGTGCTCTGGCATGGGGGGTAGTCGGTGAAAGATGGGGGGTGTATCTGCCTCAGGCTGTGGTAGAAGCAGCCGTCCCCGTTGATGCTGAAGGCCTCGGTACTCTGGTCGGTGAATGCCCGAGTAGAGCATTATCCGTAGCTGGAGTCGCCTGGGAACTTTCACTGAGTGGTGCCGATGCCCTTGTAGTGATAATAAGGGAGGCTTCTCGTTACGTCGGCGTGTGCGGCCCAGCCAGGTGGTAGTCTCCCATGGTGGGATTCGTCGGGTGGGAGAGTGTCGCCTTCCGTGTAGGCTGGTGGGTCGCAGGGGCTGCGGAAGCTGCGGCTGGCCCCTGGCGTCGTTGCGTTGATTTGCTTGGGTGGGCCAGGCGGTGGGAGCGGCTGGAACAGGAGCTGGAAGGCCTGCTGGCACAGGAGCTGGAAGGCGTTCGGTAGGGGGGGTGGCATGGCTTGGCGGAGTTGCGGAGTGGGTCGCCGCTGCATGAATTCCAGGTCGGTGCGCGTAGCAGTCGCGCGCGCTGGGCGCAGTGCTTGTTGTGGTCGAGCCCCTGGGAATGCCGCATTCCAATCGGGGAAGTTGCTTTGGGCTCAAAGCCGGCGTTGCGTAATGTGTGGCAGTAGTGGATCAGGTGACGTGCACCGTGGCTCTCCTCGTCGTCGATGAGATACTGTCTTGCTTCGTGGGCCTCCTATCTGGGTAATTTGTCGACGTCGGTACTCTTTATCTGCATAGTGCCGCCAAGTATGATCTCGGTCGGTTGAGTTTGCACACTGACTGGCGCGCTCAGCTTGAGGATCGTGACGTGATCGATCTCACTTGTTGGCAATGGTGGCGCGCGGCATGCGCCCGTCCATGCCGACGGCAGAGTGGTGCCCCGTTGGTGGCGCAGGTAGATTGGTATCGTTGTCCTCCCAGGTCGGTCTCGTCACAGTGTAGTCCACGTATTGCTTGCGGCGTAGTGTGGTAGCAATCGATGGGTAAGATGTAATTATCCGTAGACGGGTAGTGCTCCACCTCCGTTGGTGTCAATGATGTCTCTTGCGCACGCCGCGCGTGCCCCTATCTCGGAGGTCGGATGCAGGGTGCCGTAGGTATTGGTGATCGCAACGATGTAGGCATTCTGCTTGCATCGATCGATGTTACCGTGGATGGCCTTGCGTTCAATCGCCTCGAAGTTGTTGCGCTTCACCATGCCTTTCTTTTTGAAGATGCGTGGGGGCT